GGGGGCGGGCGGGCGGTCTATCTACCTGGGGCAGCAGGTCGCTATCGTCACGTCGTCGTCGTCGTCGCCGGGGAGGTGGCAGGCGTAGGCGTAGCCGGACGGGCAGAGGCCGGGGGAGTAGTAGCGGTTGGCGGCCGAGTCGAAGTTCGGCGGCAGGCACGTGGATCGCGATGAGCCCGGGAGGCCTAGGTTGATGCCGACTTTGCCGACCTCTCTTGCGAAGAACAACGACGAGATGCATTCGGACGAGGCGGGAGTGAAGGTGGTGGTCAGGGCCCCTATGTTGGGATCCTTGCTCGACGACATGGCTGTAACATGTACGCTGCAATGGAGGCGGCGAGAGAACGAGTATACGTTACGCGGGGGTAGGGACTTGGTTGAAATATGGGCCAGCCGGCACCGAGCGGGGGCGAGAAGGCTTCAGCCGCACTCGGGGTGGCTCGACGGTGTGGAGGCAGGGAGCATGTCTGCCAATCGCTTACACGGCAACAATGTTGCACAGCAGTATCTCAGCCGGCAAGCGCTGGTATCCCCTGTGCGAGCTTCCGCAAAAGTTGATGGACATTGATTACCTCGTGCTTATCCGCTTGGCTCGGCATCAGCCGAGCCCTTGTGCACCTTGGCCCTGCAGGCGCATCATAAATAGTGGCAAATCCAGGTGCCGTCTCCGGGCGTATCGTTTTGGTTGATGATTTCTTCGTCAATTTGTATGGAAACTATCGAGATATAGGATAGTCATCGTATTCAATGCACACGGTGTGATATTACATTATCGGCTGCCGCCGCCCGCGTTGATCACTATAGTGCAGCATGTACTGCAGGCAAGGCTTGAAGCATAGATATTTCGTCTGTTGGCGTATATGTGATTGGTTTTGTTGGGTCGTAAAGTGATGCAATCAAGTAGTGAAAGCTTAAATCCCTGCCGGAGATTTTCGTCGTCTGTCACGCATCTGTCACGCAGTCAATTTGTCGCGCCGGGCTATGGGTGTTTTCGGAGCCACAATAACAGGGCACAGGGAATTGAGCCCGTCGAGTGTGCAAATGATAGTTAGGCCATGTGGGGGCCGCTAGCGCGCCAGTGGGATGAGGCTCAACAGGAGGCTAGTGTAACCGGACGCGCTCCGGGTGAGGCGGCATCCAGAGGTCATGCGCGCGACCCGGGCTGAAAGTGCAAGGCTGACGGGCAGGAAGAGGGGCCAGAGGGCGGCAAGAGCGGAGCAGCGGTCTTCTGTGCCACTGCGGAGTGACGGGAAGTGACGAGAGCGGCGTTCCTGAGCGCAAGCTTCCCCACAGCCGGCCTCTCCCGGCACCGGTGAGGGGTAACCAAGTAATAAGCTCACAGAAAAAAGCCACGGTAACCTCGCACAAACACTGCCCCACGTCATGGGCCGAGCATCCCACGCCTCGCGCCCTATTTTTACTGCCTGACTCCCCGTCGACGAGTGACGGCCCCTCGTCCCTGCGAGTGAACATGGCCGTCACCACCTTCGTCTGGGGTCTGGCTGCCCTCGCGGCCCCCGCCGCATGCCTGTATGTCAATGGCAATGTGACGGCCCCGTGCGACTCGCCCATCTACTGCCACGGCGACCTTCTCAAGGCCGTCCAGCTGGCCGCGCCCTTTTCAGACTCCAAGACATTCGTCGACCTGTGCGTCCTCTGCGCCGACATGTGCCGTTCCGCAAGCCTAACATGCCGTGCAGGCCCACCATCCGCCCGCTGGACGAGGTCCTGGCTGCATTCGACAGCCTCAGCCGCCCAATCACCAACGACTCCCATCTCCAGCACTTTCTGACCACCTACTTCGGCGAGGCCGGCTCCGAGCTCGAGGCTGTGCCGCCCGACGACCTCAGCGTCAACGCCACCTTCCTCGACTCCATCCCCGACCCCGACCTCCGCGCCTTCGTCGCCAAGGTCGTCGACATCTGGCCCGACCTGACCCGCCGCTACGTGGGCGCCGCCAACTGCACCGGCTGCGTCGACTCGTTCATCGCGCTGAACCGCACCTTTGTCGTCGCCGGCGGCCGCTTCCGCGAGGCCTACTACTGGGACTCGTTCTGGATCCTCGAGGGCCTGCTCCGCACCCGCGGCTCCTTCACCGACATCGCCGCCAACATCATCGAGAACTTCCTGGACCTGGTCGACACCCTCGGCTTCGTCCCCAACGGCGCCCGCGTCTACTACCTGAACAGGTCGCAGCCGCCCGTTCTCGCCCTGATGGTCAAGACGTACATCGAGTACACCGCCAACACCACCATCCTCGACCGTGCCATCCCGATCCTGGAGAAGGAGTACGACTTCTGGACCACCAACCGCACCGTCGAGATCCAGAAAGGCAACCAGACATATCGGCTGAACCGTTACGCGGTCGACAACACGGAGCCCCGTCCGGAAAGTTATCTGGAAGACTACCGGACGGCAAACAACGAATCCTACTACTCCGAAAGCGGCATCATCTACCCGGGCACGCCTCTCAACGACTCGGCCAAGGCCCTCCTCTACTCGAACCTGGCCAGCGGCGCCGAATCCGGATGGGACTATTCGTCGCGCTGGCTGCGCTACCCCGAGGACGCCGCCCAAGACGTCTACTTCCCGCTGCGCAGCCTCAACGTCCGGAACGTGGTGCCCGTCGACCTGAACTCCATCCTATACGGCAACGAGGCCGCCCTGGCCGAGTTCCACAACCTGACCGGCAACGCCACCGCCGCCGCCCTGTGGAGCGACCGCGCAGCCCAGCGCAGCAACGCCATGTACGACCTGATGTGGAACGAGACGCGCTACGCCTACTTCGACTACAACCTCACCTCCGCCGGCCAGGACGTCTACATCGTCTCCGACAACGGCTCCACCCCGGCCGAGACCTCGGGCGCCGACGCGCCCAAAAACGAGCAGCTCTCCTTCACCCCAGCCCAGTACTACCCCTTCTGGACGGGCGCCGCGCCGCCTTCCCTCAAAAACAACCCCCTCGCCGTCAAGACCGCCTACGCGCACGTCGTCCAGCTCCTGCGCCAGAACCCGGGCGGCCTGCCCGCCACCAACCTCGTCACGGGCGAGCAGTGGGACCAGCCCAACGCGTGGCCCCCCTTGCAATACGTCCTCATCAAGGGCCTGCTCAACGTGCCGCCCACCTTCGGCGCCGCCGACGCCGACGCCGAGTTCGCGTGGACGCGCGACGCGGCGCTCGACATCGCCCAGCGCTACCTCGACTCGGCGTTTTGCACGTGGCGCGCCACGGGCGGCGCGACGCCCGGGTTGCCCAAGGCGGCGGGCGCCGGGGAGGGGGACGGCGTCATGTTTGAGAAGTACTCGGACGCCAGCGTCGACGCGGCCGGCGGCGGCGGCGAGTACGAGGTCGTCGAGGGGTTTGGCTGGAGCAACGGCGTGCTGATCTGGGCGGCCGACGTCTTTGGGGCGCAGCTGCGCCTGCCCGACTGCGGCAACGTCACGGCGGCGGATGCTGCGGGCGATGATGGGAGCGCGAGCGCGAGCGCGAGGGTGCGGCGTAGGGCTCGCAGCGGCAGCAGTACTGCCATGGGTATCAGCAAGCGGGACCTGCGCTGGGTGAAGAGTTTTCGGAGGGACAGGGTCGGCTGAGCGGTGGCTGTAGAGGAGGATGACGAGGGGGGGTCGAGAAGGAATCGTACTTGGATTTTTGACTTGGATCTCGAACCTTTAGAGGTCGTCGTCGTTGGTCAAAGCTTTATCTTACAATCTAATCCCGTTTTACTTTAACCTCTTATCCTTTTTCCGTTGATTGATTAATCGGTTTGTGGCCTCCGTAGGCGACGCGATTAATATCATCATTCATCATTCGTCCGTTATATCCGGCGGTAATAGGGACGGGGGGGGAGAAGGAAGAAGAAATGAAAAAAGAGAGAAAAAGAAGACGAAACGGGTTGAGAAAAGCAAGCGCGTAGGTAGGCGAGAGGACAGACGAAAGGCGAGAATCGAACCCCGGGGGCGGAGGGGCTGCCAAGGGGGCGGGGACAGTCCGAAAGCGGATGGGACTATATAGAGAGGGAAGTGATAGTGTGGGTTGAATTACCTTGGTTCAACCACCATTCCCTCTTGCGAATGAGGCATTGCTCTAGCGGGCTGAGATACTACTAGCACAAGTCTAGACTTTTTCCAGTCTTCATCCCTGGCTGTCACCATTTAGAGTACCGACGCACCGGTCACGCGTCTATTCTTGAATTCATTCTCGCCACTCTTATATGCTGCTTTCCTTGTCCTCTGCGACACGGCTGACTATACGGCCATGCCATACCATGTCTTTACCCAACGACATCTGCGAGTTGGATGGAAGGCAGAAGACGTACCGCGCTCTGATCATCGCCTGCTTCAGCATCACGGGCATGTTCGTCACAACTCGCGGCTGGGTCCGCCTACGGCTGCAAGCCCAGTTTACCGTCGATGACTACCTCCTCGTAGTCGCACTGGTCAGTACTCCTCTCCCCCTTCCCGTTCCGTTTGGCCGCCGGAAGCAGCTACGAACATGAAGACATATACATCAGGCCGCCTACGCGATCCAAACCAGCTTCAGCATCCTCGCAATCGACTACGGCGGCATCGGGCACCGCGCCACATCCGAGCTGCCCCACGCCGCCTACATCGCGGGCGTCAAGTGGATCATCCTCACGCAGAGCACCTACCCGCTCGTGCTCATGTTCGCCAAGCTCAGCATCGCGCTGCTGCAGCTGCGCATCATGGGGCTGTCGACGCCCTACGTGCTGCGCCGCACGCACTACGCGTCCATGGTCCTCTGCGTGCTCGTCTCCGTCTTCGGCTTCTTCACCGCCTTCATCCAGTGCGACCCCAGAAACACCCCGTACCCGGACCTGTCCGCCGGCGGCGCCGGCGGCATCCTCATCCCCGTCGTCACCTGCCGCTCGCCCTCGACCATGCTCGTCGCCAACTACGTCTACGCGGCCCTCTCCATCGTGCTGGACTGGTACTACGCCCTCGCCATGGTGCCCGCCGTCTGGGCGCTGCAGAACGTCTCGCCCGTCGTGCGCCTGTCCGTCATCCTCATCCTCGGCACCGGCGTGCTGGCCTCGGTCGCCACCGTCGTGCGCCTCGTGTACCTCGTCGACGTCGCCGGCTCGCTCGACGTGCTGCCCGTCGTGCTGTGGTCGACCATCGAGGTGTGCACCGGCACCAGCGCCGCCTGCATGGCCACCTTCCGCCCGCTGCTGAAGCGCATCGTCGCCCCGTTTTCGTCCAGGGCGACGTCTTCTGTGAGCAAGGAGAAGAGGTCGTCGAGAGCGAGCTCGGGCCAGACTGATAGCAGTGGTGAAGGAAAGAGTTAGTAGCCCTCTGGTAGAGTTTTGGTAGAGACGAAGGATAGTTTCTTCACCGATCAGTGAACGACCCCGGCCCGCACGGCACTCGCTCGGCACTTGGCTTCTCGTTTCCGTCTTCACAGGCTCCAAGTGAAGTGTCTCGTGCTAAGTGACATGGCGTTCGTCATTGCGATTCTCTCACAAACGGAAAAATCCATGCACCGCCAGTGCTCATGATTGCCGACTCCTCCAGCCCACCCAGTCCATTTTCCGGCCCTGGGTGCTGTCGTCTACTGGTACGCCATCGCGCGAAGCAGGGCTTCGTCCCCCGTCTTTTCCGACGCCCTGGGAATCGGTGCCTGCCGTTTCGACGTCGACAGCGACACGCCGACGAAGAGGCGCCGCCGTCCGGGTCAGATGCGGACAGTCCGCATCCTCCAGGTCGAGGACCGCCGGCAGCTCTTCCCCGCCCTTGGTGACGGGGACGTCGCCCGCGCAGCCCTCTCAGGCCCCGACGCCCGACTGCTCGTAGGCCTGTCGCTGCAGCTGCAGCGTCTCGTGCGTGACCCACTCCAGACGTGCGTACCGAGCCGTGCCCGACTCGCAGCGGCGCCGCCGCCGCCGCCTCATCAGGACCCAGCTCGTCAGAGGTTCCAGTGTGTACGACAGGCAGACGACGACGGATCCGAGCGCGAGGGTCGAGAAAAGGCCGAACACGGAAAAGTTGGAATGCTCGGCGCTTGGGATCATCTGTAGAGCGAGGCGAGCGCGTTGGCGAGTGAGACTTTGAAGGTGTGTGTGTGTTGGAGAAGGGAGACTTGGTTATGTTACCTGGCTGTTGCAAAGATTCCGTTCTTCTTTGTTGTTCGGCAGCCGCAGAAAGGGCTTCAACTTGTCATCCGTGGTCCCCTTTGCGACTTTCGTGACGCTTGCCTGCAGGGCCACTAGAGTAGCAGCATGCCAGTTTTCTGCTTCCAGCTGCCACTGATTGCTCGGGAGGCCTCCTGAGATTGCAGCCTGGGCTTTGTACGTTGCGAGGAGAGCGCCTTCCCTCAGGTCGCCGGGTATGGCTTCGACCGTGATGCTGTAGGACTGTATGATGGCGCTGAGCCAGTCAAACGCTGCGCGTTGCTTACCGTCCTTCCACTGCAGGTCATCTGCCAAGGAACGAGATTCATGCGTGCCGCCAAAGGGGGAACACCCTTCATCGGCAGGCAGGTTTGGGTTGCAATACTGCTCTCTTATCGAACAGCCGAGCACGGAAACCGACCGGTCTGCCTTGTATGTCGGGATCCGTCCAATAGTGCGACCGTGTTCGGTAGATGTAATGGCGGTGCTCTTTGTCGTAGCAGCATACCATGCGTCACTGACCTTTTCTGTGTAGAGGATGCTGTTGGCCGAGAGGAAAAATACATGGACGTCTGCATCTTGTTGCCTCAGGGCTGGTATGGGGTCGTATCCCGAGAGACCCGTGTATGATCCATTAGACAGAACGGCGCGCCTTATACTATGTTCGGTGAGTTGGCAATCCGACAGCGGATGCAGTGCTGCTTACTGGACAGTATACCTATCGCCGCTCACAGAACCCGTCTCCCACTCACCCGGAGCTGAGCGCCAATCGATTTCCGGATGCTCATAGGTATACTCGTAAGCAGAGTACCCTCCTGTCGTCGGTCCATAGTGGTAGCGCGAGTAGTTCATCCCGGTCTCGGGAGAACGGTACATGGTCCGGTGACCTTCTGTTCTGATCGGGTCACAGGTGGTCACACGCCGGAAGAAGACACGTTCATGAGGTGGCGCGTTCAGGCCAAGGTCGAAATGGCTGTCGAGGTAACTATCAAATTCGATGTTTCCGTATTCGTTCTCACAGATGCCGTCCTCGAAGGGGCAACTCGCGTTGCGTTCGATTCGGCTTGGGAGTCGCGGCTGCATGAACGCGTTGCAGGATCCCAGGTCGGAAAAGTTCAGGTAGCAGTCTTGCGCATATGTCGCCCAGGAACCGATCGCCTGGGCGACCCAAGGGTAGAAGTCGGACAGGGCATCCTCCAGATTGGGGTTGTTGTCAACATCCAGGATCCCGCATCCCGGACTGCGGACCAGCACACCGTTCGCCGCACGAAGTGTTTTTGAGGAGAGCATGCCGGCCACGGCGAAGATGCTGACGCAACACGCAGCAAAACCCACGGCGGGGAGCAGTCGCAGGGAGGGTCGATCAACGGCAGTCTTACGCCACTCCCACCAGATCCTGAGCAACGCCCAGAGGCCGCTTGAGCCGTTGGCAGCATTTCGGAAGATGGCCTGCCGTTGATGATAGAGGGCATCTTGCGCCACAGCCTTCGAGTGGTATTGATGGAGTGCAAAGCAGCAGATCCTCCAGAAACTGGTGCCCACAACGCTGACAAATAGCGCCGTGAAAGCAATGAGAACAGATGCCTCCCGCTTGCTCAGAGTGATGGTTGCGCCGAATACAGGGCCGTTGGTCCAGTCCGTCCAGAAGCCGGTGTAGACTTCGTAGCGGCCAGCATCGTTGATCCCGCAAAAGGACTCCATGATGCCCAGAGAGCGAGGAGAAACGATTTAGGGGAGATGGCGGTCGTCACTTCGCCCGTAGAAGGCAAGACTGGAAGCCCACAGCCGCCACTGAGAAATAAATAATAGGCGTTGCCACCGCGGAACCCACTAGTAGCTAAATTTGGACCGCGACATGGAGTATTATTCTACCCCTACTGCGAGGTTCTATGGCATGAGCGAATGCGCGTGTGGGCCTGCAGAAAATTGGTCCTCTGTCTCAGCTGCAATGCAGTCCCCCGTAATGCAAAATGAACCGTCATCGTCAGCGGCCCAATGCACCAAACTTCCGGAAGCGAGCGGTGACCCTTGTCATGCATATCTATTTTCGTCAGCTCGCGATGCTGGGGAGCTTGTCAAACCAGCGTGATAATCATTACTCATCTCCGCCATGATCCTTTTTCTTTCCCCAGATCCCTTCTGGACTTGCCACCAGCTATACTTCTACTGCCCCATTGCGGGGTTGTGAAGCTCACGAGCTTGTCGAGGTTCGCCTGACATGAGGGACTTCGCGGCCAGGGTGAAAGGTCTTGTCGCTGTGCCTTGGAAGACGCACTCCGTCATTGCTGTGTCGAACGAGGAGGTGGCATCACAATTGTCTTAGTACACGCATTTCATCCAGACCTTCGACGTATTGGCTTCCCACAGGAAGGCAGCGTGTGGGAGCTCCTCGCCCAGTTCGACGGACGAGATCATGTATCGGAGGCTGCATACGCTGAGGATGTGAAGTTTTAGAAACACCAAAAGAGTATAACAAGAGCTTTAGGAATCCCTTTCTGTGGAGGCCACCCATGTCGAGTCTAATATGCTGTTGAATCACGTGTTATCGTGTATGTAGTACAACCAGATCAGTCACTTTCGGGGTATACGAGGCACCCCGGGGGGCAGGCCCTCCTGAACCTCATGCCAGCAATAAACACTCATTCGATTATCGGAATTGACTGGCGACATGTTTGGTTCATCTACAACTTACCGATCGAAGGGCAACCCCACAGGCATAAAGCTGACGATTTAGACATACCAACAACCATATCAAGTGTACATAAAGCCAGCAGGTGTACGATGAGGCGCTTAGGAGATCATGTGGCCGGGGGGCTTCAACGAGGACCCACTTCACGGGTGCAGAAACGTCCAGACCAGATCCTCACCACGCACATGGATCAACACGGACAGCCTCCAGTACCTACTAGTTTCAAGCGTCCGCCGCCGCTGCACGAACGCATGCGCGCGCGCGGCCGCAGCAGGAATCTGGAACGCGCATCTGGCACGTCATCCGGGGCGTGCGGCGGGCGCAGCACAGCCTCAGCCTCCTTCCTCCTCTACAATGCGGCCCCCACGCCCGCGGCCCCCCCAACCGACGCTTAATTTGGAACCGTGCGGCAGAGAGTGCGCAAGTAGGCCATCTTTGGACTGATCCCTCCTGGCCCCCACGGTGGTGCCAAAAAAAAAAAAAAGGAATCAGTGGAGCGACACTGCTGCGCCGCACGCCCTTTCATGTCCGATCCCCCAGCCGGAGAATTACGCTGACACGGTGCGGTTTTTTGCTTTCTTCCTCAAGCACCCGCGCGTGGCGAGTACGTTGACGAAAAAGAAACAGGAGGAATACGTACGATCACGTTCGATTGAGAAGGAGAGTGGTCGTTGGCGTTGGCGGGCGGGCATCCTGGGCGAGGCGTGTTCGGGGTGATTGATTAGCGTGTGGTTCCAAGTCCGAAGAGAATCCCAAAACTCCGGAGAGGGACATGGAAGCGAAGCACGTAAGACCAATCTGCAATGAATAGCGAGAGAGACGAGAAAGTTTGTAAATCTGGATAGACTCAATTCTGACAAGAGAGTGCTTACGCGCGGAGGGAAACTTATGAACCAAAGGGACGAAACCAAACGGGAACTACAACCGCAGCAGCAGCAGCAGAGCAGTCGCGGATCTAAGCCAAGTCGACATGGTAGTGGAAGAAGCAAACGCGCTCTCCTGCTGACCATCCAAACCCTGCTGGCCCTACTTTTTGTTGGTGGCAATGTGCCCCAACTTCGTCCTCAACCGAGGCAAGATTAGAAAAGTGAAGAAAGACTAAACGGTAGCGCAGTGCCGGGAAAGACGAATCAAAGAACCCAAGATATACTCCTCGTGAACCGATCCCCAAGAACGAGCAAGGGCATTATTCCTTCTGTTTTTTCTTTGTTTTCTCTTTTCCTGCCAACTCTCCCTCCAGCCAGCTGTAGGGAGGCGACACAAGAAAGGTGGAATAAGAGTAGTAGTGCGCGGCGAGCCGTCCCCCACGCAACCTTCCAGTTGCAATTGGGGGGGTGCTTGGCGATGGAGATGTCCCGCTGCGGCGGTTGCAATGGACAGAAAAAACCTGTCCGTCGCGGTGAGTAGTGTGTGTGTGTGTGTGCGTGTGTGTGTGTATTCCAACAACAACAACGACTGGTGGCAAGGGGAAAGCCTCAAATCCCCTTGCCAACAGAGCCCCTCTCCTACGCCGTGGTTCCCGTGTTTCTCTCGACGCGATGATGGGGAGTGGAAGCGGATGACAGCTTTTCCCGGTATCGGCCGACGTCGTTTCGCAAACGAAACAACAACAAAGTCCTCCTCTTCCCTGGAGATGACTTCTGTTCCCTTCTTCCCTTGTCCCTACCTTCCCCCTTCCTTCCATGCCCCACGGTGCGTGTTCTCCCAATGGCTCGTCCCCTGGTATCTCCCCCACATACTCTCTTCTTCTTTTTTCCATTTGTCAGAATTGATAGTCCGTTTGATTGTAAAATAAATTCCGCAAGCATGGCTCCGGCTGCTGTGCGTGTGGTGCAAACAGCAACCCAGACCCGTTGACGGTCATGGCCAGGCCCAAACTGGCGAGTCTCCCTCATCCTGATCCAGTGCTGCATCGCTTCGTGCCGGAGGGGAGAGTGGTGATGTCGATACTCGGGCGAGCGTTGGTCGGAACAGCACTAGTGGCGATGCAGGTGGAGGAGGAAGGACAAGGAGAGGCGGCGTAGCAGCAGTCAACAGGGAGGAGCGAAGACTTGATGTTGTCGGTAGCATCATCATCTTCTTCCATTCTCATCATCATCATCTTCGTCGAGATGGCACAGGCGGCGTCATCGGAGGCGGCTCTTTCGTCGTCGTCTTCATCGTGGAATGCAACACCGTCAAGGCAGCAATTAAATGGAGATGAATGGAATTTCGTAGCTTCGTAGCAGCGGGCGCAGCCGGCGCGGAGGGCTAGGTGAGCGCCTCCGCTCCGACTGCTGGGTATTCGCCTGCCACTCTCCCATCTAGAGGCAGGAAGATGTGCAGCCCAGGGGCTAGACAGGAGCATGTCGGAAGAAGATGTGGTTGTGCTGGCCGAGGGGGTGGACTGCCAGTCTGGATGGGTTGTCGAAGATGGTAGCGGTGGTGATAGGGTGTCCGTGGTGGGTTAGCAGCCGTCAATGGGCGGGAGAGGAGTGGATGATGAAAGCTGGGAAGGCAGATGTGGCAGCTCGCAGCTCAGCTTTAACCATGCAACGCGGTGCTTACCAGCACGCCAAGCACGGACACGGTCGGACTGGTTTGGGGGCTATGATGGCTGGCGAGGGCTGGTGGGTCGTGTGCGCGACAGATGTGGGAACGGGCGATGACTCCGCCACGCGCACGAGGGCCTCAGTGGTGGGTGAAACGGCGCTACTACTGCACAGCGGAGCAATTGGCGAATCGTGTTTGCAGGCTGGCTGAGCACGGCGACGCTTGCGATGCGCAGCTTGTTGCCTAACGAGGGGGGCAGAGCGTGCAGGTGAAGGCGACGCGTCGCACCCCGCAATGCGCGCTCGCTTAGGCAAAGTCGAAGGGCTCGTCGCGCCCTCACCGCCAGCACCCTCACCGCACGTCAGGATCTTTTGTTGCCAATTGCCAGTTGCCAATTGCCATTGAGCGGACCGGCGGAGCGCAAGTCACGTGCGTCCATGCCGACGCTTAACCATGGGAAATTTTCCTATTTCTTCGCTTCGTCTTCCCGTCCGATCCCTGCCTCTTTCATCACCCCGTCGCGCCTTGCACCCGTCCTCCATCACCAGGCCCTGTCTATGCTCAGCGCATCTGGTCCAGAATGCCTGCTGGCACGTCGTCGTACCGACCGGCAGATGAGACCCCAGGGGGCGAAGTGGCGGCACGCAGCCGTCACCTCCGGGCCGCAATCGACCTCCATAAGTGAACAAGGGCGCATTTTCAGCTTCAAATCGCCACGGTGGCCGAGTGGTTAAGGCGGCAGATTTAAGTCAATCTGGGCTCCTCAGGAGCCTCCTCTTATACTCTGCTACAGAAATGTGCATGCGTTCGAACCGCATCCGTGGCAACATTCTCTTTTGCTCCCCCTCACACGTTTGAATTGGGGGCCGAAGACGTTTTGAGCTGCGTGGCATTGCCCTCTTTTTAGCATACCGGTTGGGGACGTCCCCTACCTACACCACCAATCTATTTTGCTATATTATTACTCGACGAGCATCATGAATAGTAATGCCAATAATTTCGAAGACATGGTTCCTTTCTATGCAAGCCCACTCCAACACGATTCAACAACTCTTCCAAAGTCTACCGAGAATTGTGACGAACAGAAAACATGCCAAATGCAGAAATTTTTCCCCCCCAAAGCAGTCTCTGCCCCCATCTTCAGAGACTTGCTAAACGCCGGGTCTCATGCTCTAGTCTAGGAAAGTGAACAGGTTCGTATGTACAACGTTGAGGGCGCGGTCGGCGTCCTTTTCTTCAATCACGCATGAGATGTTGATCTCGCTGGCACCTACAATCACACGCATTAGTTGGCACCATCCCCCCGCCGCCAGACAGGGCTTGCAAGACGCAGACGTACCTTGCGAGATCATCTCGATGTTGATGTGGTTGTCTCCGAGCACGGAGAAGAAGCGGCCGGAGATGCCCAGCATGTTCTTGAGCTGCTTGCCGACCAAGCTCACAATGGCCATGTCCGGGACAATGTCGATGGTGCCGATCTCGCTCAGGTCGGTGACGCAGCCCCTCAGCTCCTCGTCTTCGATGTGGTACTCGGCGTCGGTGCCGTAGATCAGCATCGACGACTCCGAGTGCAGCACCAGCGAGACGTGCACCTCCGACGACGAGATCAGGTCGACCGACATGTTCCATTTGTCCAGGATGGCGAAGATGTTGCGCAGGAAGCCGGGCGCACGGGTGCGCTGGTTGCTGTGCACGTTCAGCACCACGATGCCGCGCTTGATGGTGACGGCCGTGGGCCGCTTCGGGCCCTTGAGCGCCGTGACGTTGCTGGTGGACCGCGTGCGGAACAGCTTCGGGTCGTGGAGAGGGCTCTTCTGGTTGAGCTCCTCGAGGGAGTCGGGGAAGATGACGGTGCCGGCGTTGCGCGGGTTCATGACGTTCTTGATGCGGATGGGAATGCGCGCGCGGATGACCTGCTCCATGGTGAAGGGGTGGATGACCTCGGAGCCGTAGAAGGTCAGTTCGGCCGCCTCGGAAGGCGTGACCGACGGCAGCAGCGCGGCGGTGGGCACCTTGCGGGGGTCCGCGGTGAAGATGCCGTCGACTTCCTTCCAGATCTGGAGCTCGTCGGCCTCGGTGCCAACGGCGCAAAGCGCGGCGCACAAGTCAGTGTAGCCGCGACCAACGGCATTCAGCAGTCCGCCGGGGACATTGCCGAAGTAGCCCGTCACGACGGGGACCTTGTCGCCGCAGGACCTGAGCTCCTCGCCGAGCGTCGCTGCCAGGCCGGCATAGAACTTCTCGTCCAGGGCCTTGTTGAGGCCCGGGCTGTGGTTGATGACGTTGGAGAGATCGACGTACTGCGACGGCACGCCGTACTCCTCCAGCAGCGCGGCCATGTAGCGGCAGCTCAGCTTCTCGCCCTTGCTGATGATCTTGTCCTCGACGCGAACGCTGACCTCCTCCAGGTGTTGAGCCGACTCGAGAATCTTGGAGAGGTGGTGACACTCGGCGTTGACATCTTCGGTGTACTGGGCGATGATGTCGGGGTTCTTGATGGTGTCGACGGCGGCCTGGATGTGGTCGGTACGGATGGCCTCGACGATGTCGACGTAGCCCTTGGAACCGGGGATCTCGGCTTCGCGCGCGGAACGGAGAAGCCTGCAGGAGGCGCATTGGTCAGTCTCGATCTGGTGGGTGACGACAGAGGGCGGGGTACCTGTTGGTGGTGCCCTCCAGCTTCGTGTTGTTGCTGCGGGCAGAGCAGACAATTGCGACGCGATTCTCACTGAGACCGGCCCTGGCGAACAGTCAGCGCAAAGCCGATTGGCTGCCAGCGCGTGGCATGCTCACTTGACAATCTCCGCTATATTGACGGCGAACTTGCCGACACTTGTGCCCCCGAACTTGAGGACCACCCATCCGCCCGGGAGTTCCTTCTCCTCCTGGTGAGATATTCTTGAAGAACCGTTGGTGAATGTGTCGGACATTGCGGCCGTTGTGTGTGCGTGTGTGCGTGTGTGCGTGTGTGTGTGGAAAGCGAAGGTGGCGGGCGAGCGGGCAGTTATGGGCGCGAGCAGAGCGTGGTACGATGGGTTAAGAGTCACAGCTGTCCGGTGTGGGGTGTGCGTCGTGAGAGACCAGCGAGTTCGGCGGGGCGCACCGTGGCGCAACCCTGCAGCCATTGTCATATTTTTTTGTTCCTTGGCACCCGATAGCGTCACCTTCCACCCGTGACCCGACGCCCCTCGGACAAATCCGCGCCCACCTCTCACCGGCACTTTTACACTCGAAACCCGTGGTATCCGGCCCGCTGTGGAAGCAAACTCCGATCCCAATGCAGACAAAACCTCTACTTCCATATTCCAGTCTCAATGCGAAGACAAAAACAAGCAAAGGTGTGGAAAAAAAAAAGGAAAGACATCCAGGTCACGGCAACTCAAGCCTTCTTCTCCAAACCGTAGCCGCCGTGCCGCCCTTGCCCTCAAGAAGCGGATACGTCTTCCCTTAGAAGCCTGGCCGTTGCGCGGGCCCCTCTCGTCGAGCAGTTGGATGCCCAGGGACCCAGCAGGCCCATGGCGAAGGAATAGAAACGCCATCACTCTCTATCCTTCCTGAAAATGCCTTTTACCCGCCTCCCACTTAAGAAGTCTTCTCTTCGAACTGTTGCTCGACTTCGGTTCCTGACCCTGATCTGCTGCCGACTGATCTGACACTGCAACAGATGCGCTGCTGTTATAGGGCGTCGCTCGTGGAACCTCTGATGCTCGATCGAACCGACGTCCGTCTTCATCCTCAGTGTCTGAGCCGTTGGTAGAGGACTCTAAGATCTGTCCCGTTTCAGACTTGTCTGATAAATCATTATAGAAACTAGCCAGAGCGCTCTCTGATCCTAATCGATCGGGATGGTCTTCTGCGAGCACTTTTGCTCTTATTGCGACGACACGCTCGAGTAGCTCGACTGCGTCCCTAACCCGGCCGTTTCTCCAGTATGCTATGGCGAGGTTATACTGCGACGTTAGTCGAGAGGGATGGTCTTCTACGAGTACTTTCGCTTCTATCGCGACGGCACGCTCGAGCAGCCCGACTACGTTCTTGACCTGGCCGTTTTCATGGTATGCTATAGCGAGCTGGTGCTGCGACGCTAGTTGAGAGGGATGGTCTTCGGCGAGCACTTTCGCTTGTATCGCGACGATACGCTCGAGCAGCTCGACTGCGTCCTTAACCTGTCCGGTTTCTTGGTATGCTACGGCGAGCACGTGCTGCGACACTAGTCGACTGGGATGGTCTTCGGCGAGCACCTCCGTACGTATTGCGACGACACGCTCGAGTAGCTCGACTGCGTCCTTAACCTGGCGGTTTTTATGGTATGCTATGGCGAGCTGGTGCTGCGACGCTAGTCGATTAGGATGGTCTTCGGCGAGCACTTTCGCTTGTATCGCGACGATACGCTCGAGTAGCTCGATTGCGTCCTTAACCTGTCCGTTTTCTCGGTACGCTATGGCGAGCGCGTGCTGTGACGCTAGTCGTAAGGAATGGTCTTCGGCGAGATTTATATCCCTCCATTCGCAAGACTCTCGTAGCCAGCGAACAGCTTCCTTGATCCTTCCATCGATGAACAGACACCGCCCGACCCCAAAACAGAGCTCGCTCTTTTCCTCTGTACCCTGGCACTGTTCATTTTTGTCTATACGTGCCGCATGCGGTAGATAATCGCGCCAGATGTCGCGATTTTCCCAAACGTCGGCTGGAAAGACTTCCAAGAGGTGTTTTAATGCCGCCGCACTTGTCGTTGCTGCCGCCCCCTTCTGCCCAATCCATATCCCCGTCGCCAGATGGACCAGCCTATGCATATCGAACTTGTCGCCATCGCCTCGTCTCTCCAGAAACGAGTATGCGCAGAGCGTGCCGATGGCCTCTTCCAGCCGGGCTTGAGAATGATGTGCTGGCAACATGGAGTACGGAATTGCTTTCCATTCGATGCAAGATATGAACCCGAGGAGATCTGCCGCCGGTTTGTCGTATTCAAGGATCTTGTTAAATGTGATTGTCCATGTCTTCGCGACAGCGTTTGCTGAGTTCGGGTATCGTGTCCGGTCGTCAAAATCCCGACTCAGAATGATGACAGTATCCTCGTCTGCGTTCTTCAACAGCCGCAGATAGTCGGAGATGCGGCTTTTGCGTGTGTTGATGTATGCTACCGCTTGGGTGATAGCTAATGGGAGGTAGTCCAGCTCATGGAGGAGATCTGTCACGATCTCATCGTTGTCAAGAGGGTTCTTTCGGAGTAGCGACTTCCTGACCAAGTCTACCGCTTCCTGTGTCGTCATCTTTCCTATTTCAACCACGTCGTTGCCAGCCAGGCTTTGCGCCACCTCTCCATGGCGCGTGGTGAATATGGTCAGGCCATCTTCACTTTTCGGTAGGAAGGTTAGTAAACCTTTTGTTTGCTCAGAACCACGAAGCAGGTCCAGGTCATCGGCGTTGTCGACGATGAGCAACCATCTGCCCGCCTTCTTCCCACACAACCACCGCTGTACCAGTCTCTTGGCGTCATCTTTGCTTTCCTGGAGTATTCCCAACGCCGTTGCCACCTCCATGCAACTGCGCTCAAAGGTCTCCATACTCGACGCTTGGACCCAGAAGATGGACAAGTCCGGATGCTCTTCCTTGACAGAGCATGCAAATTGCAGGGCAACTTGCGTCTTGCCGACACCACCGAGGCCGCTGATTGCCATCGTCTGGCAATCCTTGTCCACAAGCAGCTTTTGTTTCAGCACATCGAGTTCCGCCCTCCGACCGACAAACTGACGATTGCGTAGGAAGGGGAGGTAGAAAATAGGCGTCCGGTCTGGGACGTGTCGGTCAGATTTCTCCATGTAGAGCTGCACTGCTAGCTATATATACTGACCTCGTGTCATCTCATCGGCCGTCTGTGTCCTCAACACGTCCATGACCGGTATCACCCGCAGGAGCTCCTTCGCACATGCTGCCGCTGTCCCGGCTGCGTACGGCTGCCATCTCTTGTTCTTGTGCGAGTCCGCGTAGTCGCAGATGCCACGGATCACCAGGCACGGGAAGCTGTTCATCAGGCCCGCCGCCTCCATCTCGAAGCACAGCACCTCTCCGAATTCAGAGCTGATCTGGTCTCTTGTAGCCGCAACCCTCATGACCTGGTTCGCCGATGCGATCGTCCCGTAGTGGACTTCGGGTGTATCGACTGCCCGTGCCTCCCGCTGCAGCTTCTGTGTGTTGTCGCACGATGCGCAGCTGCTCCCTCCGACATGATCGTAGCCCGCGTCGAACAGTACGTCGTCACCAGCGTAGGCGCGGCTGAACTTGGGCAGCCTGCCGACTTTCGAGATGTGCACCGAGAGACTGCTCTTGCCACGGTCGAGGTTCGCTCGCAGCTTCGCGAGGGCAGCGAGGAGGATTGGCGGAGGTGTGTTTAGGAACCCGGATCGCTCGAACCCGCTCGGCGTCGACTTTCCGAAATCGTATTGGATGACCCCGCCATAGCCTTTGCCCGGCTGGCTGACGACAACGTCTCCGAGTCGGACATCCGCTCCTGCGCCAGGGACGCCGCCTCCAATCCCAACCATGAGCCCGAATCGAATCGAGCGGAAGGCGGACTTCATCTGCATTGCAACCGCCGCGGCCGAGTTGGTGCCGGTCTGGCCCGCAGGCAGGCAGGCAATAACGACATTGTGCTCGCCAATGCTTCCGAGAGTGTATATGTTGGCATCGTTGCTGTCCTGGGCGAGGTCTTCATGCTCATCGTCGAGCATCTCTTGAGACGCGGCCAGTTCGATTGGCAAAGCGCAGACCCACCCCACCGTGTAGTCGTCGCGGCCGAGGCGGCGTGTCATGATATCGGCCAGGTGTCGGTCCAGATGCTCCAAGCAAAGATGGATGACGACCAGCACTCTTATCAGCTTTGCTACCCCGCTCAGCCTCGCCAATATAGTTGCAACACGGCTGTTTTCCCTCAGCCTTGCGCTTCATACCCCACCCGGTGCTGATGCACATCTAACTGGCTGGTCGTAACATCTAATTGGCTGGTCGTAAACGGGCAAAGCAGCACCGATGCGGCACAGCCGCCCGGGAATATGGGGATTGGGCGTAGTCCCCATGCATCAGCGTCATTTAGGCAGTAGGCTGAAAGTGGCCGTGTGCTGAGATGCATTAGCGCCTTCGTATCAAGAGGGTGGGTTGCGGATACAGCCAACAGGATCACTTGAGAAGCCAACCACCATGTCCATGTAATAAGCGTGGCTTATACACGCGAGAGGTGTGCTTTGCCACGTGTTGACCGTCCCAAGAAAAGCATGATCATTAGCATTATTGCACAGCAGTCGACTCGAAACCAAACGTCCAGTGATGCAGTAGTACCCTGCAACTACGCCGACTGCCCCATGCTCGAAATAACATCCACACTGCCATTCCCGACAGCCACGAACCCCCGGCCGCATCCAGCAGCACCCGCAGTCGACGCCCCCCTCGCCTTCGGATCACCCCATCCACCCCCACCGGGGGTCTGAATGACGATCCTGTCCCCCTTCCCCACGCTCGCCGTGTTCTTCCCGCCGAGGTTGAGCACGCGCCCGCCGGCCCGGATCCACAAGTTCCGCCCCCTCTCGCCGTCGCGGCCGCCGTGCAGGCCGTACGGGGCGACGACGCGGCGCTCGCTCAGGATCGACACCTTCATCGGCACCGAGAACTCGACGTCGCGCACGACGCCGTCGCCGCCGCGGAACGCGCCGTCGCCGCCGCTGCCGGGCCGCAGGCAGAAGCGGCGCAGCACGACGGGGTAGCGGCGCTCCAGCACCTCCGGGTCCGTGATGCGCGTGTTGGTCATGTTTGTGTGCACGCCGGCGGTGCCGTCGCCCCAGGGCCCGGCGCCGCTGCCGCCGCAGATGGTCTCGTAGTAGCCGAAGCCGCGGCCGCTGGGGGTCTCGCCGGTGGCGTCGTCGATGCCGAAGGTGAGGTTGTTCATGCAGCCCTGCGACGCGGCGCTCGCGCCGAAGGCCCGGAAGATGACGTCCACGATGCGCTGCGACGTGAGCACGTTGCCGGCGCAGCACGCCGCCTCGCCGCTGGGCTTGAGCAGGCAGTCGTCTGGCACGTGCACCCGGATCGGCCGGATGCAGCCCTGGTTGAGGGGGATGTCGTGCGTGATGAAGCTGCGGAGCGCGAAGATGATGGCCGAGTGCGTGATGGCGATGGGGGCGTTCCAGTTGCCTGGTTGGTTCAGTTGGTCAGTGATCGGTGCACTTATACGTGGGACTTGGGAACGTCTAATTACCGTAGGCCTCGGGCCCGGTGCCGGTGAAGTCAAAGGTGGCGTCGCCGGTGGCGCCGTCGATGGTGACTTTGAGGCTGATGGGGGTGCCGTCGTCCATGTAGTCGGTGGCTTCCAGGCTGCGGCCGGCGTGCTTCTTGTGCACGGCTTTCAGGAGGTCGCGGACGGCGAGCTCGGCGGCGGCCTGGACCTCGCCCATGTAGAAGGTGACGACGTCCTTGCCGTAGTCGTCGTACAGGGCGCGGATGAGCTGGGTGCCGCGGTGGTTCGCCGCCACCTGGGCCTTGATGTCGGAGATGTTGTCCTTGAGGCAGCGCGTCCCGCTGCAGCCTGGGATCTTGCCCGGCGCCAGCAGCAGCCGCGTCAGTTCGTCTTCGTTGAAGCGGTCGCCCTGCACGACCTTGAAGGACTCGATGACGGCGCCCTCCTCCCACAGCTCGCGCGAGTTGGGCGGCATGGAGCCGGGGAGGACGCCGCCCACGTCGGCGTGGTGGCCGCGGGAGGCGGTCCAGAAGATGATGTTGCGGCCGGCGGTGTCGAAGACGGGGGTGATGACGGTGAGGTCGGGCAGATGGGTGCCGCCGGCCACGGGCGAGTTGGACAGGATGACGTCGCCGGGGGCAAGGTCGCCCTTCCAGTGGTCAATCTGCCACTTGACGGCATAGGCCATGCTGCCGATCATGGCGGGCACGTGGGGGGCGTTGGCCACCAGCCCGCCGTCGGGCGAGAAGACGGTGCAGCTGAAGTCGAGCCGCTCCTTGATGTTGGTGCTGACGCTGGTGCGCTGCAGCGCCCTGCCCATCTGCTCGGCCACGCCCATGAAGCGGTGCGCGAAGATGGACAGTTGCACCGGGTCCGCCTTGGTGCTCGAGATGGACGCCTTCTCGCCCGCCGTCAGGTCGATGACGATCTTGTCCGCCTGCACCGTGGCCGCCGCGTTGGGCGTCACCACGATGGTCTGCGTGTTGTCCAGGATGAGCGCCGGGCCCTGGATGGTGCTGCCCCGGTCGAGGCCGTTCAGTCGGTAGACGGGGGCGTCGACCCAGCCGCGGCCCTCAAAGTACACGGGCGTCTGGCCCGTCGCCGTCTGGCCTGCCGTCTTCCCGGCCGGGGCAGGCGCCTCTGCGCGTGCGGCGCCTGTCGACGACTCGATGGGGCTCTTGCCAACCGACCGCACCCTGAACTCGTCGACGATGACTGCGCGGCCCTCGGGGACGAAGCCAAACTCGTGCAGATGGGCGTCCTTGAACGCCTGCAGCACGTCGCTGCCCTCCTTTTGCGGCACCATGATGGCCGTGTCGCTGCCGTGGAACCGGAGGCTGAGGTACTTCTCCGTCGCCATGCGCGCGGGCGAGATGCTCTGGCCGATGAGCACGTCCTCGGCCTTGGTCGACAGCTTGTCCAGGGCCTCGGAGATGATGGGGAGCGACGAGTCGCAGTACTGCAGCGCCGCCGGCTGGCGCTCCTCGTGCACGACGTCGGCAAGCGCCATGCCGTAGGCGGAGAGGATGGACGAGTACTTGTGGATGAGCACCCGGCGTATCCCGAGGATGGCGGCCAGTTCGCACGCGTGCTGCCCGCCCGCGCCGCCAAACGACGCCAGGTTGTGGAGGCTGCTGTCGTGGCCCTTGGCCTCTGTCAATATCCGGATCGGCCTGCACATGGACTCGTTGGCCACGCTCAGGAAGCTGATGAGAAGAAGTCAGAATCGGTCCACGGTCCAGACAGCACTCGAGTCGACACTTGACCTACCCTGCCGCCACCTCCTCCATCGTGAGTTGTCCCCCCGTCTCGCCGTTGATGACCGACGTCATCTCGCCGAAGAGCTTTCGGCTCGCCGAAATGTCCAACGGCTCGTCCGCATTGGGTCCGAAGATGTGCGGGAAGGAATCTGCAGAGCCCGATGATCAGCACTCCAGCACGCGTCTCGAGCCCATCTGGCGTGTCCGTCCTCACCGGCGTTGATCCTCCCGAGGACCAGATTGGCATCAGTGATGGTCAACGGCCCTCCCTTTCTGTAGCAGGCCGGGCCGGGATGGCTGCTTGCGCTCTCGGGCCCGACGTTGAAGAGGCCGTTCCTCCAGGACAGGATGCTCCCGCCTCCAGCGGCCACCGTGTTGATGTCCAACTGGGGGGTGGAGATGACGACGCCGGCCGTCGTCGTCTCAAACACGTGCTCCAGCTCGCCAGCGAATCTGGACACGTCGGTGCTCGTGCCTCCCATGTCGAAGCCGATCAGCGGCGTCTTGTCCGTGTCGTCGTAGCAGGTCCGCGCGTAGCCCACGACGCCGCCTGCCGGGCCAGACAGCACCGCCCGCAGCCCCGACAGCCTGTAGCGCAGCCTAGTGTGAGCAAGTGATGCTGCTTTTGTCGCCGCGCAGCCACGTACCTCTTGAACTCGACCAGTCCGCCGTCGCTCTGCATGAACTCGCACCGGCAATCGCTGCCGTCCAGGTCCTCGAACCCCGATACGAAGCCGTCGATGTACTTTTTGATCTGCGGCGTCAGATACGCGTCGGCCACAGCCGCGTGCCCCCGCGGCACGATCTTGATCGAGGGCGCAGCCACGCACGAGAGGGAGATTTGGTCAAAGCCAATCTCCTCTGCGACCTCGCCAATGACCCTCTCGTGGTCGGGGAACGTGTACGAGTGCATGAGGCAGACAGCCACCGAGCGGTAGCCCTGCGCATACGCCGCACGCAGCTCTCTCGTGACCTTTGCCACATCTGCGGCCGTCATCAGCCAACACTTTCACCATCGACGCGAGGGGGGGACAGTCCTACCGAGCGGCTTCAACACCCGCACCCACTCGCCGGTGACGCCTCGGACGAGCCCTGTAGGGTCGACTTGGGCGCTGTCGCTGCGCTCGGTCCAGTCCTCCAGGGTGACCCTTTCCGAGACCTCGATGACGTCCGAGTAGAGGACGCCGGGCCGGTTGATTGCCAGGTCGAAAAGACGCGGCCGCGCCTGGTTGCCAATGTGCAGCAGGTCCTTCAGGCCCTCGGACACGCAGAAGACGGTGGGTTCGCCGTTTCTCTCCAGCAGCGCGTTGGTGGCCACGGTGGTGCCCATCTTTATGGATTCTTATTGCGTCGCACGCGCGGTCAGCTAGCTGCCCGTAAGGTCGACATTAATAACGGAGCATGCAGCCGGGACGCACCGACGTCGGCCAGCGAGATCTTCTGGCCTTTGGGGAAGCTCTTCCCCGTGGCCATCTCGAGCACCCTCCTGATGGCCTCGGACGGGGCATCCTTGTAGTTCTCCGGGTCGACCGAGAGCAGCTTGATGACGATATCCTCCTTGCCCGGCACAGAAGCGACGCAGTCGGTGAAGGTGCCGCCGCGGTCTGTGTCATCACACGGTCAGTTGAACGGCTCTGATCACCAGCCTTTGCCGTGGGGTTGCGGTGCAATCCTACCAATCGAGATGCGGATTTTCTGGGGCGACTCTGGCGAAGGCATGGTCAATCACAACTGCAGCATGGAGACTGATCGAAAGGCCGACACGTCCCCAGCGCAGCTATATCAGGAACCCATTCCGTCGGTTGAACCAGATCGGCCAGCGGATGCTGGTGCGGGGCAGACCCAGCGTCCCGAACAGGCCGTTGCAACTCTCGGCTTCGTTGGCGGCAAGCCGAGCCGGGCTCCGAGCTCCACATGTTGCCGTTGGTCTGGTTGTCCCATGTTGCCGGGCTAAGTAACGGCTTCCCAATTCACCTTCTGTCCAGTGTGAGTGAGATTAGCAGGAAAAGACGTGCTGCGGAGCTCCGCCCAGGCAGTTGATCTTCCAGGTGGACGTGAACCTATTTCATTGTACAAGATAAGCCGGGACTGTCGTTATCTGTACTTACGGTGCTGCACCACACGACCAATGACATTCGACAGTTCCCAGGTGCAATCAACTCTGACATGATTGGTCCATCTGAGATGGTTTCGCCATCTCTACTTTCCAGAGTCGGAATGTACCCGGAGATCTCGGATTTCCCGATCGTGGTGGAGGGTGGAGCTCCACACTCACCACTCGATGCTCGGCCGTGCGACCCGAAGATCCGAGCCCGAGCCCGAGCCCCCCGGCTGCGTCGAGTGTAGATGTGGTATTGTATTTAAAGCCATTTTGTCAAAGACGTTCCGAGTCTTCCCACAACGCAAAAACGGCTGACTGAGATACCATGACTGTTCAAGGAGCAAGAGTTGGCTGGGTAAGCATCTCCAAACCCCAAGAGCGAAGGCGATTGGGGCTGATTATAATTACATTCAGTATGGCCTGGGTTCCATGGGCCTCGGCATGGCCCTGAACCTCACGCGCCATCTAAAGTCTGCTGGTGCACCGCCTCTCAGATATTCGAACCGCACTCTCGAGAAGGGCAAGCCGCTGGCGGAAGCCGGCGCACTGCCCGAGCAAAACTATGAGGCCGTTGTGAACGCGTCTGATATTGTCTTCACCATGGCATGCGTCCCCGAGTGAACCGTTTGGGCAAACACTGTTACTGACTGACTTCCCTTAACAGATTTCAAACGACCAGGTACTAAAAGAATTGACCTCTGTTGCCGCCGAGTCATGCACGTCAATTGCGGGCAAGATCTTTGTGGATACATCGACGGTGCATCCCGACACCTCGGCGTCCGTATCAGCCACATTGGCGGCCAAGGGTGCAACCTTCATATCCTCGCCTGTCTTCGGCGCCAGCCCCATGGCAGCATCGGGCAAGTTGATCTTCGCCATGGCGGGTCCGTCGGCGGCTCTGACGGCGGTAAAGCCTCTGGTCCTCAATGTCATGGGCCGAAGCATCATCGACATGGGCGACGATGTCCGAAAGTCGAGCCTCCTCAAGATCTCCGGGTACGTGGCAGCCTTGATCCGTTTGCCCTGCCGCCTCTGTGCTGACACCGCCACCAATGCCAGAAACATCCTCGTCATCAGCTTCATGGAGGTCATCGCCGAAGCCCAGGTCTTTGCCGAGGTCACAGGGATTGGCTGCACCCAGATGGAAGAGTTCATAGGCAACATGTTTGGCCCGGTTCTGGAAAGCTATTCTCACCGGTTCGTGCACTCCACTCCTCCGACTGCATGCCTCAGAGTCGACGCTGACGAGATATGCAAAGAATGACTTCTGGTGCCTGGGCTCCACCGCATGGGACCCCACCTGGCTTTGCCGCGTCGCTCGCGGCAAAAGACGCTCGACATGCCTTGTCCATTGCCAACAGCAACGACATGCGCATACCCACTATGGACACGGCACTGGCCCATTTGAAGCTTGCGCGCTCTCACGCCGGAGACATGATTGACAGCAGTGCCGTGTACGGATGCCTTCGCGCTCAGGCCGGCCTTCCGTTCTGGTCCGAGAACAGCAGAAAAGAGCCGTAGGAGAGGGGCTGCCATTTGAATAGCCATGGAATCCAGCATGGCGCCAACACTGGCGAAGCGCAGCTCGGCCGACGTCTCGTCCCAAACCAGTGGCGTCACCAGCCTTTCTTCGGTCGTGTATGAGAAAGCGGCAAATTTGTGCAATGGTTGAGCGAAGTGTCTCAAGCATGTCAAGCCTTGTCATTGCATTGGTCAATCGTGAAATGTTTTTTTAGCACAACGGCGAGGGGCCCACTCGCACACTACCAGCAGTAGAAAGGCAACCAGATAATATTGATATTTCACTATGGGTATTTTCGTACTGTGCATCCCACCGCAAGGCCTTAGAAGAACGTCTTGTCGGTGCAGAGACAGAAGTTGTCCTTGCCACTGGAAAACGTCAGCAACCCCCATGACGACACGGTAGAGCCAAAACTTACATGGAGTGACAGTACCCGACCTGGTACTTCCTGTTATAATCCTGAGACTGGCACTTGGTCTTACAGGCGTTGTTGCTGCACGGGACGACGCAGACGGGATCGTTGGTCCACGCGTAAGACCTATATGCTCGCTTTCAGCAATCGTGGATGGGTTAAACGCAGGTCATGGAGTGTGCTTACCCGGCCACGGGGTAGATACACCGCCCGAGCTGGCATGCGGCCCTATCGCGAGTCGAGCAGTGCGGGCCGTAGGCGTCTTGGGCGTAGCCGAGGGCCGGAAGGAGGGCGAGGAGGACGGTGGTGTACTTCATCGTGGATGCTGTCGGTCTGGAGGCCATGGTAGTGTCAGTCAATGTGGACTTCGGAGGACGGCCATCCATCTCCCAAGTCTTACCTGTGCAGTGTGCCGTGTCAAGGTGAAGGTTTGCTGGTGGTCTGGATTTATAATTTATATCATGAGCAAGACCGGCTCCTTTTATATAGAGGGTGGCTCTCGTGTGGCCTGGATTGGGACTCGGAGTGGAATAGATTTCGGGTAGGCCTAGACGTGACTCTGCTGACTCGCATAGCAACCCTCGTCGACTGTGGCGCCCTTGGATATCTCTCGGCGCCTCTTGCGGTGGGAACACCTATGTTTGTCGTGACGAGTCATGGAATCCATCGCAACGAGTCGGAAAGACTCACTTACCACGTCGTTGCTTATCGTAAAGAGTTGGGAGGTTTCACCTCGGTACTGTTGTATCGCTTGCAGCGTGCAAGCGTTGCGCCGTTGGGATGGGACTCCCTGAGTATAGTCGTCGTGAGTGGCCCCACATAGGTACTAAGCCTTGCCATGCCATCGTATCGCACGCTTGCCGGGACGATTCGATAGCCGCCGCTAAAGTGTTAGTCGGCTCCTACCTACCACACCACGCGCCTGTAGTTTGACTTACTTCGCTATTTCCGCACGCAACCATCAGGATGGGCTTAATTCCCACCAACGTGAACAGAGTTCCAGGCTTGAGACCAAACAGCCACTTTCGTCCGAGGACCAGCTTACAATTCAAAGCATGCAGAGGGCGCACTCTGTTACACCGACAGCAGCGGCTGCACCACGAACACTGCGTCTTTGGTGAAGACCGCTGGCTTAGCAAGCCTCACACGGACGAAATCAGCGGTCCTCTATCTTAGACTCCAAGAGGGGCAAGCGATGCAGTCTAAAAGCTCAAACAGGGGCGGGCGTATTCCAAGCGCTAAAGGCTTCTAGAGTCATGTATACGAGAGCTAGAGCGCGTCTCGCTACGGAGAAGGATTGACGTCTCGTATAGCCACTAGCGTAGAAACCGACTGTCCCCCAGTCCAAACCCGGGTACTTGCCGCTCAACCAAAGTCAGTCTCACCAAACGCCAAACGTTATCTCTCCGCCATTGTGTTCTGATACTCGCGGGCACCTGAGGTCGATACTTGCATCTCCCGTGCCGATGGGATCACTGAATGGTAGTTACAGAAGAAGTGGTGTATCCCGGGCAAGCATGAACCTGACAAAGGTCATTATTTCTGGTTTCCTTATGGCGTCGATTCGTCCGCCTCAAACGATGATGTGGACGAAGTAGAATACTTGAACTGCAATGGCTGTCGTCGTCGGAACCGCGATCAACGTCTAGATAAGGAAGACAGTGACGACGATGGTAATGAAGGCCACACTCACGTTCCAAGTAGCTTTGACCCCACTCCGGCGCCTTCGTCAAGCGCTCCCACTACGCCTTCTCATCCCACTACGTCTTCGCAACAAGCGGTGACCCTAGACAATACTACAGGCCTACAGCGCCAGGACCCACCCTTACTTACTGGAGAGGAGCTGGATGTTACGGTGTCTGCCCTCTCTGATGCCGACTGGACACTCCTCGACTCTTTCAGACAGAAACTTTAAGACATAACATGTTTCGTTGATAGAGGCGAGGCGAAATATATCAAAGGGACCCCCGGCGAAGCTGGGGCTTTATCCCTGCAGTAGTTATCACGTCCTTTTATGGTGTTGAGCTAAGTGATTACGATAAAATCGTAATTACTAGCGCTTCTAAAGCTCCTCTATAATCTACTCCAACGCCTTGATACGCACCTACTCTGATAGTTTATCGGCTTGCCGGAGGCGGCGGCTGCTGTAGTTATTATACGGTAGTGATAAGTGTAGCTTTCGGATAGCTCTTACGAGCAGACGAGACTATCGTACTAGACGAACCGGTCTTAAACGCTGCAACTTTTATAAGAGCGGACTAAGTAGCTTTAGCGGACACCAAGCAGGCAATCGGGTAAACCATCGATATGTTTTTATCGAGAACAAGTTAAGAGTCGAGGACGAGCGTCGTGTGATATCTAGGTTTACCGCCAGCGGCGAGGAAGTAATGAAGTTATGGGTATCGGGCGTTTTTTTTTAAAAAAAAAAAAAAAAGACGAGAATAACGGTGAGACGAGGGCTTACCGGAAGGGGTATATTATGTAGGAATTATTTAGTGTAAGCAACGGTTAGTTATTAGTGAGGTTGGTGGGGGAGTTATATCGATGGAGGGGGTTTTCGCAAGTGGGAGCAGACTAGAGAGTGCCGGGGTGTAAGAAGTTTAGAGGTTAGATATAATGTAGTAGAAGCGAGATGGACAGCGAGGATGCGTATAGAAGTAGCGGGGTTCTAAGAGCGGTCAGCCGTAAAAGAGATAGTAATCCGGAGGTTGCTGAGCGGTGGAGGGTATGGCGCGTAACTGCTACCGGCGAAGTAGGGTCTACTCGAAGGAGGGGCCAATTCCGAAATCTTATCACCCCGAATTACGACATAACGGCAGCACTTCTCTTTTTTAGCATTCCTCGCTCGCTATTGCAATCTACTAATACATAGCTACTTGTTACTTACTCCCGCGTCGTCACAAGCATAGACGCCTTAGCAGCCCAGTTACCGTAAGTATTGGCGCCTGATCCTATCTTCGCCTTACCTAGTCGGGATACACCATCGGGAAGTGAGGTAACCGCCGCTAGGGGTAATGCGCCAAGCGCACCCTAGGATTACTAAGGTGTCCGACGTAAAAGAAGCTACTACGAAGCCTACGGACGACACCTTGGGTCCTAAGCGCAAGTGGGAGTCAGTAATGGAGGTCTACATAGACACCAAATCAAGAGAACCGGGTGCTACTAGGAAGGCCACGGATAATGCCTCGGCAAAGGACAACAGCGCTCATAAAGAAGAAGAGGCGGTACGGACCGCAACCGTTGGGCTGTGTTTCCGAGGTTGGTAAGAGCTTAAACGATCGTCACCAGCATCGATGGGGAGGATATCGACCTCGCGAAGTCGGAGCCGTTACCCCAAGACGAGGCTCTCAAGATCATCAGGGCCGGACTAAAGGACCCAAAGGCCAGCCACCGGAGCAGGTTGTCGAACGCTTGGTTGTTCTCCAACCTGCCGGGCGAGATGACTGAACCGGCTGTCCGGCTCTATAGCCTCTGCTCTTGACTTGGAGAACCGGCCGCCAGCATCCCTCCCTTGAACGGAACCCTTCTTCGTTCTCAGCCGTCCATCTTTCGTGAAGTTGTCGGGATCCGCGTCATAGTCGGCGGTGGAGACGGCGGTGGTGATGGCGGTGGTAACGGCGGTGACGGTGGTGGGTGATGGAGACGGCGGTGGTGGTAACGGAAGGTAGAGACGGCGGTGGTGGTAACGGAAGGTAGAGACGGCGGTGGTGACGGTGGTGACGGTGGTGGGTGGTGGTGACGGACGGTGGTGGAAACGGCGGTGGTGACGGCGAGCGCGCAATGCGATAGGTAGACGCGTAGGGATTAGGGATAACGTTAGGAAAACGCGCTTGGACTGACGCGCAAGCGCGAAATCACATGATTTGTCTTTTGATTCGACTAGTTAGACTCAAAGTGAACCCCGAAGATGCTCCGGTTCTCAAGTCTAAACGTAATTCCCCAGCTACGCCTCGGCAGGCACGCCAGCCACGTCGCTGCCGCTTCGGACTTTCGGCCCTCCGCTTCGTAGTAAGCAGCTCGAGTGGTGTCGTACACTGCCTTGGCTTCGCTGGGGGATCATACATGCATGGCGAGCAGCGCGGAGGGCCTAGGAGCCCAGTGGACTAATCAAGACGGGGAAGTCCAGGGTTCAGCAGCGCGGCAGCGTCATCCTGCAGCTGGACCCTTCTCAGCACGCGGGCGGAGACACACATGAAGCGCGACTGCGGCTCTGGAGACCATGTGCGCATATTGGATTGCGCGCGCGCACACACACACAACGCTCTAACGCGAGTACGACGCCCGGTGTTCCCACTTCGTCCTCCGTTGCGGAGCACCTTGGAATTAATACCTCATGAACAGAGCGCAGGTTTGACCGGTACCTAGCTTGAGGGGAAGCTGGCGACAGATTCGCGCAGCAGCAGCGCAATGTGGTGGGTCGTGGTGGTTAGCCCCCTAATGGCAGAGTCCTGGGTATGACGACGCCGACCCGGCTTCTCGCCGGAGAAAAAGGACAAAGCTCGGAGGGTCGGGCACCAGCCAATAGCCATGGCCAGCTGCTGCAGAGTCGCAGTGCTTCTACTACGTCTGTACTGATTGGCGGTGCTGGCGGTGCGGGCGGGCGGCGGCAGAGCCCGTGTCGCGTCGGGCTCGACCGTCTTGTGGCTTGCAGCAGTGAGCTGCCGCGACCGTAGCCGTGACCATGGGTCAGTCGAGCGCAACGTGATGTTGACGGGCGACGCCTCCGTGTCATCCTGGGGTAGGCAGGAATGGCGCACCGCGGCAGCCACGAGCCAGCGGCAGGCGACGGGGTGAGGAGCCGTCGTATGTGATCGGCATTCCGGGCGGTTGTTGAGGAATCCGCGCGGGCGCAGGCGGGCGCAGGCGGGCGCAGGCGGGCGCAGGCAGGGAGGCCGGGGCGGTAGCGGGCGACGAGCATGCGGAGCGGACTCGGGCTTGCGAGCTGGAGACGGGGTGACGGGGCACCGGGGGGTGCTTTGGCAGCGGAGATCGACGGGGGGCGCCCGTAGGTAGCAGTCGCAAGCCTCTTGGGGGCGCCGTCATGCCCGAAAAAAATCCTTGGCCTGGCTTGGGAGGGCGTGCAACCCAGGCCGGACTGAGGGGGGTGAGACGTGCCTGCTGCGACTTGTTGAACTCCGGCTCCTCAGAGGGCCAAGTACATAAAGGGACGCCTCCCGCGCCCAGAGTGGACTCGGCCACGACCACTGACACCACCGACACAGCCCTCCTTTCACCTCTCCACGTGCGCCGACCGACACCCCCGAGTCACGGAATCTCGCCCTCCCACGTCGGTGGCTGGCGATCTGAGCTAGGCCGCGGAAAAGCGCACTTGGCGGAGCCCAGG